ATATTAGAGTAGATTTAGGCTGGATAACTATCTTGCATGCAGTGTGATAGGCATTAGGATAATATTTTAAGATAAATAGATACGAAGCGTGAAATATGGGAATTATGAATAAAAATTAAGTATTAATTGGAAAATTAGAGACTGGATGATGACATTATTAAATATGCATAAAATATGATTAGCAGTAAAATGATAAAATTAAACAATGGATGATTAAATAATGAAATAATATATTTTAATGTAAATATAGGTATTAACAGTAGAAACATGGATTGGATGATTGTAAGAACATGAATAGACGTATAGAAGTATTTTAAATGTTTAAATGATTGTGATTGGTACTAGAAGTGTACATAGATATTGGTTAATGAAAGAAAGAAGGATGAAATATTAACACAAATAGATGGAAGACATAAATACAGAAAATATGATTAAAAAGACAAATCTTTGAATATTACAATGATATGGGGGAAAATTAAAATTAAAAGAGAGTTAGAAATAAGTGGGGAACAATAGTACATATCAAGATATATGAAAGAACAAGAGGGCGGCTTAGAAAATGAAGGGTGGAAGTATAAGGTATGCATAAATAATAGGAAATAATGAAAATGAAATGTAATAATTGGGAGCAATAATATTATGCTTATTTATATCAAAATGTATGACACCCAGGTATCGCACCATTCACATATTGATATGTATAAAGAATATAAAATAAAAGGCTTGACAAAATAGTGTAATATAATTTTATGCCATGTACTAGTACATAATATTTTTAATATATATTTATGTAAAAACACATTGATATTGCTAATTGTCACTTGCTGGTATTTTTACTTAATATCTAAAGTAATATAGGATTTCCTGCCCGAGAAGGGAATTTGACAAAAGACCTCCCAGATTACTTCCAACTCTGTTATTCAATTATAATTCTTGAACATTTTTCAAACAAATCACTTATAGATACTCAGGGAAGACAATAAAGTATTAGAAACTTTGGGATGATGTTGCTGCTTTGATTGGCAAAAAGAAATTGCAGAGCTTGAGAGGAATGAACTACAGTATAATTTCTTATAAACATATGTAAGTGTGTAGGAATTTTAATAGAGAGAGCTCCTTTTCTTTATACAACAGAAAGCATGAAAAAGAGACTATATTTTACAATTAAAATAGAACAGTGGTGGGATTTAAATTTTTTATTACTGGTTCTATGGGTGTGGCTTGGTGGGTATGGCTTGATGGACGTGGCAAGGGGAAGGATACTGTAAAATCTCCATCCCTTCCAACTCCTGGGAGAAGATTACTGCAAAATCCCATTCCCTCCCCACCCCATTATCCTGCTTTCCAGCTCCATTCTCCTGTGCAGGGCAACAAAAGAAGACCCAGCTGATCAGGTGGGACTTGGGAGACAGAGAATAGAACGGGGTGGGGCCAGTCAGAGGTGGTATTGCTGGTTCTCCGAACTACTCAAAATTTCCGCTACCGGTTCTTCAGAACTGGTCAGAACCTGCTGAATATCACCTCTGCAATAGAACATGTTGAACTAAATCATCACTATGATACATATAAACAGCGATACGTATATTTATAGGAAACTTACTTTTTCTTTCTATCACCAAAAGGCAGAAGGGAAGGGAAGAACTTCATATTTAAATTAGATTATATTCGTTATATAATACTTTTTTTTTTGCTTTAGAACAGTATTTCTCAAATATTGCAACTGTAGGATTTCAAATCCAAAATTCCCCCATCAACATATCCCTTAAAGCTAACAAGTATGAGAAATACAGCCTTAGAATTTCTTTGGTGTTCTGAAACAGAAACAAAACACCACTGAAGATAATAACATAGCTATTATCGCTATTACAGAAGAATAAGAGGAAGACCAACCACAAGTAGCAACAATCTAGTAAGATGTAGTAATAATCTAGTAACATTTAAATGTATTTCAAGAAATAAGCATCATAATGAGTTTCTGTTTATAATCTAACATTAAGCAATTCACCAATAGCATTTCATTTTAAAGTTACCAATGTTATTAACTGACAAGTTCTCTTTGAAGATTTTCCCTTATCTAGTTTCTAAAACAGAATAAATGGGAACATTTGTTAAAATGGAGTGCTTTGTTTTTCTTACACATAACATGAGCTCTAAGTTTTGCTTACTGACACACATATTGTAATAACAATAATAATTTTAACTGAAGGTCATTTAGCACAAAAAATTGCATGATCTTTCCAATTCTTAGCAAAATGTTGACACTTCTTTTAGAGAATGTTTAAGTGTAAGGTGCATTATTGTGTTGCTACATCACTAATAATTATCCTATAAACTAGCTTTTGAAAAAGCCAAGGTTTAGAGGGAATGTAGTGAATATAATTCCTTATAACAATTATAGCATTAGTCATATATAATGTTATCTCTACAGAGACTGGCAAGTGGCTTTTAGGCAAAAAATTTAAAAAGGTGGGCACTTTTTCTAAAATAATTCTTGCATATGCTTTTTGAAAATTATACAGTATTATTCTTTTTTTAAAAAAAAGCCTATTGAATCTACCAGTAACTGGGACTTTAATAAAAGATTATAACTTAAACAATACACCAATATTAAATACAGCTAATATTGTTTTAGATGTAATTAATTTGTTACTTATATGAAACCCATTACTTCTGTTTAACTCATTACTAGCCAAATAACATTAAATAACCATTGGACTTTTTCCCTTCAATTGAAAAGAACGAACTTCTGAAGACCAGGTGTTTCAAAAGGAATCCTTTATTGAAAGGGATTTTATCTCAACACTAGACAAAGCAGAGTCTAAGATATCCCCAGGCATACAGTCATAGATAAAGGAAGTTAGAATCCCTCCCCTTATTCAGATGTGGATTTAGTCAAACAAAGAACCAACATGTTAATTCCCCCCTCCCCTTCTCTGGGAACATATCTAAGCAGAGTTCCCAGGAGTTTCTGGACATCTGGCTACACTCCTCCAGTTATATATCATATGCAAGTTATACAGAATCAATATAGGATTTAATATATTCAGGTTACATCAAAAAGGATTAGTTGTACCAACTCCCCCCACTTCTTCCATTGAAGAATGGCAGAAACATGGATCTGACAAGTTTGAACACTGTTATGGAATAGCAGGAATATTGTCATTTTCAGTAATATTCTAATAAAAATTTTGCTGATACAATCAAATGTATATTAAGCTTTTTAAAAATATTTTGATGTGTTTTTCAAATGTATTAGAAATATTATTGAATAAAAAACTATATTAGTCCATACTAATCTGTTTCTAATAAAATCACTCCAATGCTTTTACTTTCTGTGCCATAATTCAATATTTTGTTATAAGGTACTGAACTGGAAGATTAAAAACTATGTTTTTACTAAGACATGAGGGGAACCTTATAGAATGAGGCAGACGCCTACAAAATTCACGCAGATAGGAAGCATAGTCCACAAGTCCCATTCCAAGTCAGGGAGCAAGTGTATCTATCCACTAAGTACCTCAATCTCAAGGTACCTTGCCAAAAGCTAGCCCCAAAATTCTTGGGCCATTCCCCATTGTGAGGTTTATCAATCTAGTTATAGTTAGGGCTAGGTGTTCACTCCCTCGGCTGTTAGGTAAAATCCACTCAGTTTTCCATAGCAGGCTGCTATGGCCTGTGAGGATGGCAAACATATGGGGGGGGGGGGGGGGCAAGCCAGGTGCCCTGGCCCATCCAAGTGGGAGGGGAGCTTCACTACAAAGTCACACAGATCTTAGGCTGCTGAAGGCATAGTGGGGTACTACAGTATTTAGTACAATGGAAAGGATATCCCCTGTCAGATGCCTCCTGGTTGAGGAGTGGAGATATAAGGGCATCTTGGTTAGTGAAAAGGTTTCACCGACAAAACTTCTGCAAACCAGGTGGAGGGGGGGTTGCAGCCAAGAGACGTCTCATGGCTTCCTTTGCCTTTCAGGTGTCGTCCTTATGATAGGAAGGGCCACATCTCAGCCAGCCATGGCTATGCCATCCTGAGGCTGCCATTTGGGTTGGGAGGAACCGTCATTGCTCCGTGCAGATGAGAAGCAGCACACCCAATGCAACAGGAAGCCTGCCGAAAGCATATCTCTCAGCTGAGCCGTGGCAGAATGGGAACCTGCTGGAAGCCCACCACCACTATGGGACCATCTCGGACAATCAGTTGAGCCACAGGCATCCCCCACAGCAGATATGCGGTAGAACAGCTGAGTGGCAGTGCCAGAATGGCGGACCATGTGCAGGTGCAGGGAGCTTGCTGGAAACTTTACGAGCAGCTGTAACACTGCAGAAATGTAGTAGACGAATGGGTGGTGCATAGCGGGTGAGGAATATATGGGATGGGGTCCAGGAGCAGGGTCCAAGGGGTATGACCGCTGGGGAGGGATAGATCTAAGCATTTAAGGATGGAGGGTTAAACCACAGTAGTACTGACTTTGTTTTCTTTGTATAATTGTTGGTTTGCAAGATATAAAGTTCCACATTGAACTGTGTTGTCTGCATTTCTTACCACTAAACACCCGAACATGACATTTATATAACAGTTTTCCTTGGTTTGAACGTAGCACAATATCAACTTTGCTAGAATTTTTTTCTTATTTATACACCGCCTTAATCTACAAGGACTCCTGATGGTTAACTGTTGTCAGGGTTACCTAGAGTTTGTTATAAGACAGTGTTTTCAATAGATAAAATAAATCAAAAGTTAAAATATCCATTGAAAATCACAAACAGAAAAAAGCAAGATAATGCAAAACATAATTTAACTTCTCAAATATATTTATATGAGGGAAAACAGAAGGAAAATGTGAGAATGTTTGTTCTTCAATTGAAAAAACCAAGGTTTTATTCTAAGTACATTTGAACTATATTTCCAATTTTCAACTCCTTATAGGAGTTATCCCAACCTCACCCAATTTGATATTTTAAGTAGTGTGTCAAAAACTTTTATCAATGAAAGATCATACCTGACTAAAGCAAGGGCTCTGTTTACTCTTTCTTCAAGGCCAGTTGTCCCCAGAGCTTTCCATGTCATCCAGAATTTAAATGCATCTGCTCTTCTGCTACACTGGATGGATTTATCACCTGTGTCATAGCTGATGTCATAAAATTTGTCTTGTTGGAACAAATATGAGGCATTGGCAGAGTAACATCTCTTAAGCAAGTCCTGTTTTAGATGTAAAACAAAATGAAACAGAATTAAAAATCTTTACAGTGTTCAGGACAACATATTAAATTCTAGCATATAACAAAAATAGCTAATATTGCATAACTTAGTATCTTTAGAAACAAAATGAAATTGTTTTAAAATAGGTAAAAAAGACATCATGGAACCACAAATTCAGCAACACCAATATTCTTCAAAAGAGAGGGACAGGATTTAAAGTTGAATTGTGTAGTTGTTTGAGTAGCCAAATTATCATTTTAGAAAAAACACTATTAGTTTTTAAAGACCATGGCACTGGTGTAAGTATTTGCCCCATTTTACAAACTTTCTTGCCAAAGTTGTTAAATGAATCGCTGCAATTGTTAACTTAATAACATGTTAAATGAATCTGGCTTCCCCACTGACTTTGCCTACAGACCTTTCAATTTGTAATCAATTTCTGTATATGTGTGTGTAATGTATGAAATATAAGCTACATATATAAGCTATTAAGAAAACTAAACTTTTAATTTATAGGCAACCGCAGAAATAATTTCTTTGTACATTCCTGCTGTATTATACTATGTACTTACAATGTTAATGGAGGAACTTTTGCTCTCTCTTTTTTATTGTAGCAGAATAAAGTGGACTTACAGAACTGTCTTTCACCAGAAGTGCACAACATTGGATTCCTGCCATAAGCATCTTATGAGGATTCCATGCAACAGAAGTGGACCTATAAACGTAAGAAATGTAAGAAGAAAACTTTTAATGAGAAAATTAAAATTAAAAATATTAATTAATTAAAAATAAAAAAATTCATATTTCATTTCATACTGCCTTCATTTTAAAGTATATGCAAAAATATACATATAGATAATTTAAACAGAAATCTGTCTTCATTGCTGACTTGAAGTGTATGCCATCCATCCTTGAGTTGGGAGGAAAAAAACATACAAACTGAAATTTGCTATTCCCATTACTAATCCTTCTCGTCACTCTTTTCCTCTCTTTCGTGTTGCTGCTAAATCACCAACCTTTCTTCCCCAATATAATGGATAACAAAGCCTAATAGCTTTTATATGTCATTGGAGACTGCCACTGGAACTGTAATAAGGGAAGAAATACAATTTTAATCCCAATACACAGAGGATTTAGGCCTATCTGATTCATGAGCAGGACATGAAATAGAGACCAATGCAAGAGTTCCATAACCTCAGTCATTCCTGATGAAAAAAATCTCTCCATGTAATGAAGATATGGCAGCAATGTTTGTGCCATTGATATGTATAAGGAAAGGCACATAGATCAAACAAAACGGGAAGCAGCTCATTTCTAATTCAACAAAGGGAGAATCTAAAGACCAACACAGCAGTGAAATTCAGTTAGAAAACATTAATATTTGATCACAAGACTGTGGGGTTTCTGACACACATAAGCAGTCAAATAAATATATTAATCCTTTTTCTTTTTACAAACTCCAGGGATGTCAATCTTGATTTCACTGATGCTGCATCAGGGATGTATTTAACCTCGGGGGGTTGGGCTGGCACAGAACTCGCAAGGGTTTCCAGAGCTCCATTTTCACTGACAGTGGCACTGTAGGCCTTTGCTGTGTCCAGAGCCCAGATCTAAGCATCCCACAGGCCAGATCCAGTTCGTGGGCCTTGAATTTGACATTCCTGAACTACTCAGTTGCTTCAAACCATGAGACAAGCGGCATATTTAATAAATGAATAAATAAATAAATAAATAATAAAAATAAAATAAGGGGAGGGAAGAGTCAGAAGCTTAAGCCCCACTCTTTTCAGTAATGTCAGAAGTCACTGCTATAGACCCTGAAATTCTCATACAACAGATTGCAAAGTTGCTCCAACTTAAAATAGCAAAATGTATAAAATTTGATTCATAAACTATTAAATTTTCAATTAAAATGGATATACCTGTGGATGCCATGAAGAAGCTTGCGATGCCTCCTTGACAGTAAAGCTGAGCCTCCCCATGATGCCTGTGGAGAAAAATCATTCATTAAAAGTTATAAGGTAGGCTGAGAGATAGCAACTGACACAAGTGAGTTTCTTTGATTGAATGTAGACTTAAACTTTTAAAAAAGTTTCCCCTGTCCTCAAATACAATATTTCTACAATATACCGGTTTGAATCTTCTATAATATACTGGTTTGAATCTTCTATAATATACTGGTTTGAATCTCTTAATTTTTCACTTGCAGCATATTCAAAAGATTAAGCTAGATAAATATTTTATATTTATATTCATTGCTCTTATAAATGGCAATCCTAAGAAAACAATGGCAATGATACATTTATTTAACACATGAATGGATGGACAGGCCATGATTTCAAAATGCCATCCCAGAAGAAAATTCTTTGTCTGTCACATTCACAATTCTAAGAAATGCTAGAGAAAAGCTATTAAGTGCCCCATAACCTATAAATTCTTCAAAAATGATTTGTAATTATTCATGTGTTTTGGTGTCATACAAACTGGTGGTGATCTTAGAGAGAAAGAATACTCACTAAATGTTATGCCAATCAACAACCAATTTTCACTATAACAATGTTTCCAATGCATTCTGAAAATTTTATCCTTTTTTAGATGGCATAAATTCAGACATGGAAAAAAGTTCTTTTATTTAGCCTGATGTTTTTTTAAAAACTGAGGAAATATTAGGTTTCTTATACAAGACTACAAGTTTCCTATACAAACTTAAAATGAAATGGCTTTGATATCATGAATATGCATGCAAGTTCCAGTTGCCAGAATTAGAAAAACATTGAGAACATGCAAATGAAAAGAAAGATGAGTTTAGATAGAAAATAGTTGATGGGATACAATAGAAAGTCTGAAAACTGAATAAAAATATGTTCTAAAGAATTGAAAGAGAATAGCAATAGCAATAGTACTTAGACTTATATACTGCTTCACAGTGCTTTTACAGCACTCTCTAAGCAGTTTATAGAGTCAACATATTTCTCCCAACAATAGATCTGCAACAATCTGGGAATGAAGCAGAACTGATAATACAACTTCTAGTAGTGGGATTATAAGCATTGGGTACAGAAAGAATGAATAATTGTTTGTACCTATGTGTGGGTATGGGGAAAGTATATGTAGATAGACGATAGACAACAGACAGATAGACAGACAGACAAAGAAATAAAAAAATAGACTGATACTAAGAAGGCTCTTTGCTGTTCTTGAACTTGTTTGTTATATTGAGACATTTTATTATTAATGAAAACTAGGTAACATCATCAATGCACCACAACCATCATCAAATAGGAATTTGGTGCTAATAATCTGTAAACAAGAAACTAGGAAAGAGAAAGAATGCATGGAACTAGAAGGAATCTTTACATGACAAATTATGTAAATTAACAGGAAGAGGTTACGGTTAAAGATAAAAAAGAGCTAAACTACAAGGAGACTTGCAACATGGCCAAGGTAAGGAAATCCAAGAATTGTAGGGATGTAGATCAGGAGAATGGATTAAAAATGTTAAAATTTTGGAAGAGGAGAAACTATTTTAAATTTCTGCGTGAATAAACGTTATATCTTTATGAACAAGTTTCTAAGAACAATCATATTTTCTGACAGAAATCTTAAAATAGAGCAAGAAGCATTTTGATCCTACAAAAAGTTGTTGAGTGACAAAACCCAATGGCAAAGGAAATTATAGTTGTCATTTAACAACATCTGGCAAGCCAGAGGTTTCTATCTCTTAAAGATATAGTCTCACATGATGTCATTTTCCAACATTAGTATCTCTGTCAAGTACCAAGAAAAAAACAACACAACTTTTTATCATACCTAAATTGCCTGCTGCCTAAAATGCATGGTAAATATAGAAATACAAATATAAATTTCAGTAAAAACTAATTTACAATTCTATAACATCTAGAAAAAATTCTGCTGAATTTAGTGTGGATTATATAGAGTCCATTCAAATGATATTGTTCAGTTAATAAGTTGTGCTGACATTTTGTTTAAAATGGACTAAGATGATAAATAACATCCTATTGGTGATTTGAATCTGTCTTTAGCCATTACAGATTTAGCACATTTTATCTAGCTTCTTCTCTGAAAGCTAGAATGGAAGAATAATAAATTACAGTGGAGGTAGCTTACAGCTTGTACCTGTAAAGCATTTTCCATATTTTTGTATGTTTAACTTTGGATAAGTCTTTATAACAGTTATAGAGGAAATGGAGAGAGTTGCTTTCTTATTTGCTGATAATAACACACTATCTCTATCACAGCTATATCAATAGCTAGCTTGAAATACAATACTAGGAATTTTTAGTTTCTCTTAATGATTAAATCAAAATAAACAAAGAGACTTTAAAATAATTATTATCAAGTAAACAAGGGATAATACATTCTGAATATGAACATCTTATTTTTTTCTGATAATTCACCAACAAGAAAAGCAGAAACTTACTGAACAGCAAATATACTGCTCAAAAAATAAAGGGAATACAAAAATAAGACATCCTAGATCTGAATGAATGAAATATTCATATTAAATACTTCGTTCATTACATAGTTGAATGTGCTGACAACAAAATCACACAAAAATTATCAATGGAAATCAAACTGAGCAACCCATGGAGGTCTGGATTTGGAGTTACGCTCAAAATTAAAGTGGAAAAAAACACTACAGGCTGATCCAACTTTGATGTAATGTCCTTAAAACAAGTCAAAATGAGGCTTAGTAGTGTGTGTGGCCTCCATGTGCCTGTATGACCTCCCTACAATGCCTGGGCATGCTCCTGATGAGGTGGTGGGTGGTCTCCTGAGGGATCTCCTCCCACACCTGAACTAAAGCATCCCCCAACTCCTGGACAGTCTGTGGTACAATGTGGTGTTGGTAGATGGAGCAAGACATGATGTCCCAGATGTGCTCAATTGGATTCAGGTCTGGGGAACGGGCGGGCCAGTCCATAGCATCAATGCCTTCGTCTTGCAGGAACTGCTGACACACTCCAGCCACATGAGGTCTAGCATTATCGTGCATTAGGTAGGGCCAACCGCACCAGCATATGGTCTCACAAGGGGTCTTAGGATCTCATCTTGGTACCTAATCGCAGTCAGGCTACCTCTGGCGAGCACATGGAGGGCAGTGCGGCTCCCTAAAGAAATGCCACCCCACACCATTACTGACCCACTGCCAAACCGGTCATGCTGGAGGATGTTTCAGGCAGCAGAACGTTCTCCATGGCATCTCCACACCCTGTCACGTCTGTCACATGTAGTTAGTGTGAACCTGCTTTCATCTATGAAGAGCACAGGGCACCAGTGGCGAATTTGCCAATCTTGGTGTTCTCTGGCAAATGCCAAACATCCTGCACGATGTTGGGCTGTAAGTACAACCCCCACCTGTGGACGTCGGGCCCTCATACCACCCTCATGGAATCTGTTTCTGACCATTTGAGCAGCCACATGCACATTTGTGGCCCACTGGAATCATTTTGCAGGACTCTGGCAGTGCTCCTCCTGTCCCTCCTTGCACAAAGGCGGAGGTAGCAGTCCTGATGCTGGGTTGTTGCCCTCCTATGGCCTCCTCCACATCTCCTGATGTACTGGCCTGTCTCCTGGTAGCGCCTCCATGCTCTGGACACTACGCTGACAGACACAGCAAACCTTCTTGCCATAGGTCGCATTGATGTGCCATCCTGGATGAGCTGCACTACCTGAGCCATTTGTGTGGGTTGTAGACTCCGTCTCATGCTACTACTAGAGTGAAAGCACCACCAGCATTCAAAAGTGACCAAACCATCAGCCAGAAAGCATAGGAACTGAGAAGTGGTCTGTGATCACCACCTGCAGAACCACTCCTTTATTGGGGATGTCTTGCTAACTGCCTATGCTTTCCACCTGTTGTCTATTCCATTTGCACAACAGCATTGAAATTGATTGTCAATCAGTATTGCTACCTAAGTGGACAGTTTGATTTCACAGAAGTATGATTGACTTGGAGTTACATTGTGTTGTTTAAGTGTTCCCTTTATTTTTTTGAGCAGTGTATAATAGGATCTATTTCATAAAACCTTTATACATTAATCTCGCTTACTTTGATTTCCACAAATTAACATAAATTGTATGCAGGGAATGATTTTTCAATCATTCTCCTGTGTAAGTGGAAATGTACCCAACCAGTTTAGACTCTGGAAACACTAACCAAAAACAATTCCATAGAGTTTTCATAAATGAAAATAGCTGTTATTGAAATCTAAGAATAATTCTAGATAATCATCTGAAATAACTCAATCCCCATTAAACAGTAGGATAATGACATCTCTAATAATTGCCACAGTGGGCTAAGATCAGTGATCCAATTAATCAGCCTTGTGTTTGGCTTCTGAGAACATAGTTTGGAGATTTTAACCATGTTCATTACTTCATTAACAGCAGACATTCTTCTCCTAAGAAGAAGAAACAAATGATCAAACTGGAAACGGTTCCTACCAACACAATAGCTCAGGCAGAAGAGAAACAGGTGACATTGACAAGAGTTCATACTGAAGAGGCGCTACATGCAAATCCCTTGTGTGCTTTATGAATTCTTTTCAGTTTTTATAAGCTGCCTTGTAGATGGAAATAGAGGATCAGTTATTTCTTTTCTTTTTCTTTCTATTTGTGCATATGAGATAATAAGAGAATCTGTGCTGCTCAAGGACAATCTCTCCCTCCCACTTCATTGGCAATCTTGAATAATACCTTCCTAGTACCTGTAAATAAGCATTGTTTAAAACACAGAATAACATTAATTGTATTATGGGTTGTTTATTTTACCTTGTATCATTACCAGAGTTGGTTGATTGATTAGAGCAGTATAAAAACAAGTTGTTTTTATAAATGTAAATAACAAATAAAGAAATGACCAACTTCAATCACTATAACAAATTGCAACCTTTGGTGAAAACGTGGGGTTGCTAAAATCTTAGAATTATTATTATTTTTTTTTTGAAAGAAAGAAGAAAGATG